CTCCAATTATATGACCAACTTGTAAATTTCCTTCCCCCTGCAATTTTGTAAGTTGACAGGAACCGAGGTCGTAGTCAAGCCGCTAGCACTATATAAATTACTTCCTCAGTTGAGGCTTATAGCTTCTTAAGGTTAAATGTTTAGTTCTTAAAATTTATTGATTGAGGAAAAACGTAATTATTTTTATATCTTTCCCCTTGTTTGTTTAATCACTTCTCTTTTGCCAATGAAGACAAAGAGCCGTCGGAATGTTTGGCTGTGTTGTTCAGTGTTAGAGGTGAAGGAGAAGAAAAAGCAAGCATTTAATTGCTGTGATCAAACTGCTGAGAAGCCTGAAAATATTCTGTCTAGGATATTTGGGCAGCAAAGTAATAGCCGTATCACTACATGCATTTGCTGCTCTGTGATTGAAGAATCACTGCCACCTCCCGCAGATAACACTGAGTCTTCTTATGGTTTGATCTTGGCTTGCTTAATTTGCAATTTAATACTCTTAATATTTTTATTTTTTTGGGCTTTTGTTTTCATTTTATTTCTTGATTTTATAAAGAATATTTGAAAGAAAAGTATTGCTCTCGACAGTTTTATTTAAGCATATCTTATTTCCTACTCATAGTGGACAAGATAAAAATTGACATGGCAAGAGAACCTTACTTATAATTCTTTATAACAGTGAGACGTTTTTATCCTACACATTAAGGATAAAATTACTAGAATCTCGTCTGTTTCATTCTTCTCTTCAAAGAGAAATTGACCGGTTCACTTAGAAAGAAATCAAGTTTTGACCCTCACTTTTTAGTTCACTAAAATCAAACATAAACAAGTTTAACCCTAATTAAAAGCGATACACAAGGTGAATCAGTATATGCATATAGTTGAAGGTGCAAGACTAAAATGAGTCGGGGTCCAAAATGTGGATTGTTCGACATTGCCTTGTTTACATGACTAGTTGGAAGACAAATTTTGCAAAAATTTTTTACTTTCCTGTGCTTTTCATTTTATTTAACTAGGTTATATTTAATTATTATTCTTATTATTTTTTAATTGATGAGTTTATTTGCTTCCTTTGCAGACATGGAGAAGGAGTTGAGCAAAGGTCCAATTACTGCTACCGGAATACCAACTAGCAAATGAGGTGTGTCGTCATGGATGATTATGTATTAAATATATTTAGAAATAAAATGTATGTTGACCGTTTGAAAACTCGCAAGTGAACTAGATCCTGATCAAGTAATATAGTAGTGTGTAAAGTGTAGCAATAATGACTTGTAATAAATCTATTTCTAACTTATTACGTACTAGAAATCAAAGTAAAAGTTTATCAAAATTTTGAGACATTGTTAAGATATAGAATCCCCCTTATTAATCCATTTTTAGCACAACAATTAAAATGACTCGTTGTTATCATGCGAGTTAGTCGAAGTTCCAAATTTATTTAAAAGTTTCTCTCGATAGCAATTAAATCTAATCATATATGTTACATTTCTATATCTCTATAAAAGATACAAACATATAAAAAAGTATTAAACGAGTTAGAA